ATTGTACATTTTAAGTTAATATAAAACACCTTCCAAAAGACAGTATCTGTTAGCATTCTGACAGGAGTATATTGGAGAGCTTACCGCCCTGCCAGCACTCGATGGCGCAGCAAGCGAGCCAGGACATGTTTGCCCTCACCAATCTGATATCGGGAAGAGGTGCCTTGTCCTTGTTTGTATTTGCATTTTTCTGACTACTGCTCTAGAAGATCACATTTTCTTTTTTTCTGTTCCTGCCCCTGCTCCTTCTCCTACTCCTTCTTGAATTTCTGATTTCTTTTGCAAAGAACTCTTGTCATTTTTTCCCTTCCTAACTTGAAATAGTATTTTGTAAAGTGCAAATATCAACATATTCCTGTGTCTTGCAAAGTACAATTCCCACTCATTTTCCATTGTTTCCTAACATTTTTTATGTTATTTATAGATGCTTGCTTATGACTGACGTGGTGAAATGTCTCTATTTTTCCACTTTGATAACGTGTAAGCTTCCTTTGAGAAGGTCACCTATACTTAGATACGTGAAATATTCTACAATATTTCACTCAAATATACTTTCAGTTTCATTGTTAAAATTTAGATCTTTAATTTACATGGTGTAAGGATTTTGTTTCTCAAATGGCATAAAGTGAAGGTTTAACTTCTTCCAATCCTCTAATGAATTACCGACGTGTTGCAACAACATATCTGGAATGGTCCCAATTTCTTCACTAATTTGGCATGCTACATTTACAAAATAACCTATAATTCCACATTGCCATTCTGGGGCAATGATTTATTTGTTTGACCTTACTGTGGTAATTTGTTCATGAGGAAAGCTCCCTGGTATTTCCAATATTATAGAGCAAGTTCTTCATAATTTATTTTCAAACTTTTATAAAACTTTTATATCATCCATATTAAGTGGATGATAGACTATATATGTATATATTAGACAAAGGTTTCATAAATGTGATATAGATAATAAATAAAACCAAAATGCACTCCTTAAAAAGATGAATAATGTAGTCTTGCAAGATTGACCAAAGTGGGGGAAAAGAGAAAGAGGAAAGATGCAATCTGAGGAGGGACATTAGAAGATTTGATCAGTGCATGCTATAGCATGTGTGGAAATAGCACACTGAACCCTATTAATAATTACAATGTGAACATATTAAATAAAGTATTCCTGTAAAGAAGAAGAAACAAACAGATAACATCCAAACATAAAAGTAGTACTTGGAGAGCTACATACATAATAAATGTATAAACTATGTTGAACTTCATTAGTTATCAAGGAAATGCAATTTAACACTGCAATATGATATTACTATGGAACCACAAGATGGGTTGAAATGACAAGAATGCAAAATGTTACTGAGAGAGAACCAATAGAACTTTTATTGGTATGAAATAGTCTTCTTATTTTAAAGTCTATTCAAATAAATTGTTTTTAATTTACTATATTGGTGTTTAAATATATATACCCTGTTTTCCTGAAAATAAGACCTATTCAGAAAATAAATTTTAGCATGAGATAGGTCTTATTTTCAGTGAAACAGGGTACATATACATATGTCACGTACGCATAAACACACACATATACACACAAATATACAAAAAAGATATTTGTATATGTACATACATACATATATGTATTAGAAAAGATATATATCCCTTGTATGTTCCTTACAAATAGCCACAGCTGAATTAGATCTTTTTATTTAGCCTTACACTTTCCCCTTTAAATTAGAAATTTAGCTTGTGAACATTATCACTGAAATAGTGAAGTTGGTCTCTACATTTTTAGATTGGGCTTTGTGTTTGTCTTATTTTCTCTTTTTATTTGTTGTCTTTATTTCCCCTTTTCTGATTAATCAATTACAGAGATTATTTTTTCATTTTAGCATAACCTGTAACTTTTGTAACAAATATATAAATTTATATTTCTTGCCAAAATCTAAAGTTTATAAATATCTCTCTATAGTCCACTCTCCATGTCCCATAAGTTCTGTGTCCTCCAGTTCATCCAAACATAATTCAGAACTATTTTAAAATTGTATCTGTGCTAAACATGTACAAACTTTTTTCTTTTCATTCCCTGAACAATACAATCTAACAACATTTACATAGTGTTTCTATTTAATTGCATCAAGTATAAGTAATCTAATGATAATTTAAAGTATGCTAGTGTATGTGCACAGGTTATGTGCAAATACAGGACTGTGCCATTTTATAACTTAGATCTGGGTCTTAGAATTGTGACAGTTGATCTGCATTGTCAGCTGGATTGCCTTGGGAGCTGCCCAGGGGAGGAGTAAAGCACACTTCTGGGTGATCTGGGGGGGTCATGGAGGCTTAACCTTGGGTCTGTGTCTGGTCCTGGGCCCCTTGCTCTCTGGCACTGTTCCCCTGCTTTTCTTCCTGGCCACCTTGAACTGAGGAGCTTTGCTCTACCTCTCCTTCCTCCATGATGTTCCTGCCTTGGAGCAGCTGGCCATGGTCTGAATCCCCCAAAACCACGAGCCAAATTGGGCCTCTCCTTTAAATTGCGAGTGTTGTGTCCCAGCGATGGGGAAGTTGCTCAGTCGCCCATGGATACCAAGGGATGACTGTACTTCTAAATAAGACAAAGAAAGGCTCCAGCATTAAGATTTCAGGAGTTCAAGCTGGAAACATCTCACAGGGCTGTCTTAGCTTCCAAGTGCTGGCCAGCATAGGTCAAGGCCACCATGAAAGTGCACATGAGCGTGTGTCTTCCTTCCTTCACCCACTTCTACTCCATGGCTTCTACCCCACAACTCACTTCCTGAGCACAAACTTCAGCATCTCTGAATATGCTCCTGGAGAAGAGACCTACAATGTCAGGGTATCCTCAACCTGAGCACAGTTTCCTAGAACATTCTTAATGATCTGGACCTATAGGGGGATTAATAGAATCCTTAAACTATGTAATTGACTGCTTTTCAGTCTAATTTAACCTAACATCTCTCTTCAGGCTCATGGTCTTAACATATGAACTATAAGTAGTAAAAATCCAATTTAAATATGTCCTGATTTTAAAGAGGTTGTTTAAAGATTAACTTAATTTGACAGGGAGAGTTATTTAAATCAGCAAGTATACAAAAGGTAATCATTTGATTTACAGGAGTAACAGATGGTGGCCACCTGGTGTTTGTGTTGCATGTTCTGCAGTGGCATCGTGGATGAAGGGAAAGACAGACTCTGTCTTCTCCATCTGATCTGGCGTAAACCAGTATGGACCTGTCAGGCCCATTGATAGGCAGAGTGAAAAGTTCCCCTTCATTATGAGAGGTGCTTTCCAGCCCGATGCCCCAGAGGCGGTTGGTGCGGTTTTTCAGTTACTGTCCTTCCCACATAAGGACTACCTCAGATAATTTGACTTTTTTCAAAGAAATGTGGGGAACATATGGGAGAATAGACAGAGAAGCATATTGAAAAGCAAATTGTAGCCTAAATATTTATTTGGCATTTGAAGAGATGTTACACCAGGGGTGATCACTGAGGCGGAGATGCTACAGTAATGCATGCCAAATTACTCATAATCTACAAGACTCAGAAAGATGAGTATTCCTGGAATTGCTTGAGTTTATGAACCACATTCCCAAAGCAGCCATGGCTTTAGTGTCAAGAGGGCAGGACTTTATGATTCTGCCCAGCAGGTACCCAATTCTGTCCCACAGGCAAGTTAGGTGACATCTGTTTCTTCACTGTAAAAATATGTGACACTCAAGTAACAGCATTACTTTAGTGTGTGCAATATGACAATAATATCATACTCCCTCAAACAAATTGGATAGCCATCATATATTTGTTTAAGTAGCAATGTTATTAAAGTAAGAGAATACTTACATATTACCAGCTTTCTTCAAAAACAGGACTGTACTTGACAGTGATGCATAAAATGTGAATAAAAGGCATGTGTTGCAACTGAGTGAAAGATTATCAAAGTGAAACAAATACACCAGGATGGAAGAAAAGAGAACCAAAGAAGACTACATTGAAAACTTTAAGGGCCTACACACAACCTAAATGGGGGCCTAAAATTAAGCTCTAACTTTCTGAAGTGCACAAACAAGAGGAGACCTTGTGAGGTATACAAAGCAGCATTTGCTTGGGGGAAGTATTGAATATCTGCTTTTGGTTCTGAGAGCAGGCGGATTTCTCTTGAGGTTCTTCATAAAGAGGACATTGTTGGAAGCAATAAACAGTATCCTCAGCGGTACCCTTAAAATAGATGCAGGACAAGAGCTTTACAGAACTGTTTCTAAATAGGTTCCTTGCTTTATCCCAAGGAGTAACTCAGTAAATACACTTCTGTGGCTGGGAAGGCCAGAGGAAAAAGGCTGAGTCTTGTTTATTTGCTGAGGGGACTGAAAAATGAGGGGTAAAAGAAGAAATTGCACTCTATGCAACTGGTTTAACACAGGAATGTATTTTAGAACAGCTGTGCTCTTCATAGAATATGAGCTTCTTTCACAAAGACATTTTAAACAAAACACATAGGCTGGTACTTTAAATTATAATCTTTGAAAATTACAAAATGAGAAGTTATTCCATGCTATTTTCTTCTACTCATTTAACAAATGTCTGAACACTGCCTGAAATAGGTAACCTGCTGTGGGTACATAGGATAGTATTGTAAGTATTGTAACTTTAAGGGTATCTTTATCTATATGTTTGTGTACAGGTGTGCCTTGACTTATGACAAAGTTCTGACCTAATAACCCCCTCATAAATTGAAAAGCTCGTGAGTTGCAAATGGTGAGCTATGAGCCATCCTACTTTAGCAGCATAGCATCCTGCAGGGTATCTAATTCACACTTGTAATCACATGACCAACCTAAAGCTACAGTTCAGGGTAACTGGCTAGTACCAACAGAGTACTGAACCGCATGTCACCAGCCCAGCCCAGAGTGAATTTCAAATACATTATGCTTTTCTGCTATCCTAAGTTGGGACTGTCTTCATATGTAACATGTGTATCTCTGTGTCCCCGCCAGGTGCCCACAAAAGTCAGATGCTGGTATCTGCTGTCACTGAATCTGACACAGACATTGAAGAATCAATAGGAGATCAGCCCTGGACACGTGTGAGTCCACTGAGAGCCAGGCTTAGAGAACACATGGGTCACCTGAAGAGAGTTATGCATGAATGGAGAGCCATGATAAATGGTGCAAAGAGGGGAGATGAGTTTTGAGTCTTTCCCATGAGGCATTGTCCAAGCAAACTCCCATTGTTCTGGACTATTTTATTTAAAGTAATTTAAATCTGAAAATTTCTAAGAATTGATTTTCCAATAAGTGAACTTTATTCTTTCAAGTGATAATTTAAAATTTAACCTGTTTAGATGTCAAACTTTATAAAATGGGATAGATAAATTATGGAGACAACATGAAACATCATGAAAGCCTATGATCCCATGGCTTAGCAACAGCTACTGAGTTGACTAAAGAGGGTTGAACATCTTGTCCTGCCCAGAATGCTGGCTTTTGTGTGCTTGGTCCAACACAGAACTGTTGTCCCACTTTTCACTGTCATAAGACTCTGCTTCTACTCTTATTAACTAGGACATCAGTGGCCATCTTTTAAAACCCACATAAAATGGGTTAAGAGGAACTGACTATCCCAGGAGATGCAGCATGCGTTTAGTGCGTGTGTTCATTTTATCAATATTGAGTGCCCAGAGAATTCTGTTTTTCCTCACTTGATGAGCTTTGTATAGGCAGTGAATACAGGACATTTCGATACATTTTTCTCCTACTGAGATTTGCTGCTTATTTTTTCAGCAAGTAAGAACTAAACTAATTTAATCTTTTAGAGAATAAATCTGAGGCAGGTAAATATTGTGCATAAAATAATAATAAGTTATAATGAAGATGATAGTGACAGGTAGCATGTACCAGGCACTGTGCTAAGCTTTTTGCCATCAAAACTTCATTGAATTTTCCCCAAATACAGAGTTGGGTTGTTTTTTCCTAAAAATGTCTTTCTATTCCTCTCATTTTCAGAGACAATTTTACTAAATATTAAATTCTAGATGATAAGACGATACAGCTTTCTGTATATGTGTATACATATATATCTATTGATTGGCAAAAGGAGAAAAGGTTTATTTTGACTCACAGTTTGTAGAGGTTTAAAGCCATAGTCAGTTGGCTCCTAGGCGGGGAAGCATGGTAGAATGGCAACACAGAGGAAAAACAGTTCATGGCACGGCAGGCAAGAAGCCAGAAGTTTTTAATTTTAATAAAGTGCATCATTTTATTGCTTTATGATTAATACTTTCTGTGTCTCTTTTAATATACTTTTTCTGTACTTAGATCATTAATATATTCTAAAATTTTCATCTTCTAATAGGTTTATAAATTAGCTTTTGAAGTTTGGATCAATAACCCATTTCAAATGACTTCTTATATAATTGTAAAGTAGACATTGAAGTTACCTTTTAAAATGTGTGGATATCCACTTGTACCAATAACATTTTCTGAAACAACTTTTCATTCAATTGTTTTGTATTTGATAATGATCAGTTAACAATATACTTGAGTATCTATCTGTTTCTTCGTTCTATTTTTCTATTACTTAAAATAACATACAAGTTAGCTTACTGAAAATTTATACTAAGTAACAATTTAACTGGAGTTAGCAGAGCCATTTAACATAAGACTTAGGAGTAGAGGAGTTCCATTTACCTCTGTTTTTATACTGTTATTGCCATAGGTATTATTTCTTTGTGTTTTAGAGGACCATATGTATTCTAATGAATAATAATCAAGAAAAATAGTTTAGTTTCATATTTTCTCTGATATCGTTTTTTGTATTCATTCTTCCTTTTTTATAAAACCAGGTCTTCATTTTGCATTATTTTCTTTCGTATGAAGAGTTTTCTTTAGCAATTTTATTGAAAGAGACTTACTAACAAAGAATTTTCTCAATTTTTTACCTAATATATCTTTATTTTGCCATTATTTTAAATATTATTTATACTTGTTTGTAATTATAAATAGAAAAGCTTGTATTTTCCTTAAACATGTTAAAATAGTCCCTTCTTACCACTGTTCCTGTTTATGTAATGTGTCATCATTTGCAGACTGCTATGGAGATGATCTTTCTGTTTGGTTTTCAGCATTTTGATTTTGATGTGCCTTCATGTAATTATCTTTCCATTAATCCATCTTAGTGTTCACTTTGTTTCTTGGGTGAAGTTATATTTCTTTTAACAAAATTTGAGAAATTTGAGTTATGATTTCTTAATATTTTTTGTACCCCACTTCCTCTTTCTTCTTTTTCCCAAGACTCCAATTAAATATATACTAGGCCACTTAGTAATATCCACGTGTCACTGAGGATATGTTAATGTAGGTTTCAATATTTTTATTCTTGCTTTTTCAGATTGGATATTTTGTATTGATTATTCTGCTGGTGGTTTATTATGTCATTTCTAATCTACAACTAAGTCATCTGTTGTATTTTTTTTATGTCAACGTTGTACTTTTTAATTCTTGGATTTTCATCAGTTATATTTTTTATAGTTGCCATCATCTGCTGATATTTCTGCTTGTTCTTTTTATCATGAAAATGTTTTTTCAGCATAAAATGGATGCTAATTGCAAGTTGTGTACTATTTTTGGATTGTTTTCTAGTCACTGTTTTTACCTCCACTGTCTATCACAGTTTCCTATTTTATTCACATTCCTCTGAAAATCTTCAAATTCATATTGTAGAAATTGAGGATGCTATGTTATAGAGACACTCAATTTGTTATCTTCCTCTGAGGAGTTTTATTTTTGCACTAGCAGACAGATATCTAACTGGGCTCAAATTCCAAAGTGTATCTCTCCTAGAGAGGGAAACAGGAAAAATACTCTATTTCATATATGCAGTCATCTAGCTGGTGCTTTCCTCTAAAGTCCTCACATTCTGTTTGCCCTCCCAGAGTTCATTTTGGGTTTCAGTGAGGCATTTTGAACAAAATATACTTGAAAATTATTTTAGATCTTCCTTATCTTCAAACATTCCTGCTCATTTTCCATTATCTTGTGCAACTCTGCACTCCCTCTTTTGACTTTCAGAAGATGAGGCCAAGGATCTTCACCCTCTTCTTTTAGCAGCCCCACTCCTCCTATGCCCTCATAGAAACAATTTTATGTATAAAATCCATTAAAGCTATTCTGTAATATGTATTTCCATGTACATATTTAAAAGTATTACCTGTAAGAAGATTAGTTCAAAATGGTATCTCCATCGTTACCAGAAACAGAAATCCTCCCTTTGATTGTGGCCCCTGAATATATCCATTTATTCTTTGTATATTCATTTTTTAAATATTCATTTTATATTGACAAAACTTTAAAAATGTCCAGACCCCTCTGAAAACAAAATTTTGCTAAGATAATTTTAGTTTGATCATATGGTAACAATGCATTTATCTCAGGAGAAAAATGAAATTTCTGTAAAGCATTCCTCTAACTAGATTTGAACAATAATATATCCTGGGTTGTGCAGCAAGACAAACTATTTGTGAAACAGACATCAAGATAATTAAATGAAAAAATCTTGGGTACAGAATTTCCCTGGCTCTGTTGCTGCCTAACATTTTGACCTTGGGCAATTTAATAACCCTCTATGCCCCATATCCTCTTCTGAAAAGCAGAATAATAGTGCCCACCTTAGAAGCTTATGAAAAAAAAGCAAATAAATACGTGCGACTGGTAGGATCTGTGCCTAGCATTTGACAGATACTGCGTAAGCACACCTGGTATAAATCATGTATTTCCACCAAGATCTTGTCCATGAATTCTGACTATGGAGGAAATATTACTTACTGGAAATTTTTATACAATTCATAGCTAAGGATTATTTGTAATTGATTGTGAATTGGGTCCAGTTAGGCAGGTCGATGCCTCAAAGAGGTTAACACACATCACCATTCACTAGATTCTAATATTTAAAATAGTTGTAAATTAGCTCTATGTGCAAAAATTTTTCCTTGATTACTTATGAAATTTTGGTTTTTATCATCAGCTATACAATGTGAGAGCTCCTCCTGGAAAGCAATTGGGAATCTACAAATGTTGGAGCTGGTTATTGAGGTTTGCAGGAGAATAAGCGGCTAGCTCAGGATGCAGAGTGGGGGTCACATGATGACCCTGGGGGGACACTGCCTTAATGTACCCTGCAGTTGTCTGAACTTTGGTTATGTTCATGTTGCATTATGATGCTGTTTAGCTATTTTCTTGAGTCTTACGTTTTTAAGTCAACTGCATTCTAAATAGCACAAAAATTACAAAATAACTGTGTTATTTAGTGTGAATTTCATACTGAAGGATCTTTAGAATCCAGAACTCAGAAACTCCCATTCCTGAGTCTGAAAAGCACTTTAAATTAAAGCATTTAATCCAGGAAAGGAAGATAACTTCGAACAAGAGAGGACAAAGGGATATTTTATTACTTATTACATTTAGAGAAAGATTTTCTTTTCATGAGAGCAAAATATTAGAGACAGTTTTTAAAAATCCTCAAACTTAAGGTGTTCAGGTCTTTCAAAGACCCATTTAATGTTGAAACCTGGACTTTCTTTCCAAGAGCATTATAACATATATGCTCTTTGCCTCCCCAGGGTCAGCATCAGTTTTATGGGTTTTTAAACTTTATTCGAGCTATAGAGCTGCCTCAGATTATAATGTGCATATTACATTAGGCAAAATCTATCAGATTTCTCCTGCATACTGTTTCAGTTTTACTTGATTAAGACCACGGAGACCCCCCTCCCCCTCTGCCTCATCACCACCGCAGGAAAATTCAGATTCTGCAGGCTCTGTAGTGCACTACGTTGGAGGTGCTGACACTGAGCACCCGGCTGGGGCTTAACTTTCCCTGCTCCAATCTGACTGCCACTTGCAACCGCAGCTCCCACCCGCCCCAGCTTTCAAAGGCTCCACTACTGAGCCCCCGTCTTATCCAGGTCCCTGTGAGGTTGGCCTCAGCCTGTCCTGCAGCCCTGCACGTCACAGTCCCACTGCCCTGCAGACCTCCCCGCCCTGCTCCCCTGCCCTTGCTGTAGCCCCATTCCCATGCCCATCCCCATCCCACAGACTGAAGTCACCTGGGCTAAAGGCGATCCATTCACAAACCGATCTCAGCAGGTCCAGGCACACATATTCCCCTGTGCAAAATCATCAGTTGAAAGGCCGCAGTGAAAGTAAAAAATGCTGAGCGATTTCCCTCAGTGAGCAGTCAAAAGAGACTTATAGAACATTTTCAAAATTTATTTACTTATTAGTCCATGTTTGCAGGACATAATGTTTGCATTCCTTGTGTGGAGCTGGTGCATGTACACAACACATTTTAACTCCTTTTTCATCCCCTTGCCCCCCTCCCTCCATCTCTTCTTCCCATTCCCAGTTGAGAAAGATGTTTCATCCTACTTTGTATTATCTATTACTTTGTTCTTTATACTTTGGGTTTCTTACGTAAGACAAACCATGTGCTATTCAAGCTTGTGTGTTTGATTTATTTCACTTAACATTATGATCACAAGGTGCATCCGTTTTCCATTTACATGTCTTTATGGCAGTGACGTACTCCACTGTGTGTAAATATTTCATTTTCTTTATCCATTCATCTGTTGGTGGACATACAGGCTGCTTCCTGGATTTAGATGTTATGAACTGGCTGCTATAAACATGCATATGAATGTATCGCTGTAATATGATGTCTTTAACTCTTTAAGAAAGCTATTTAGAAGGGAAATAGCTGGGTCAAAGGGAATTTTTAGTTTTATTTATTTATTTTTAGGAATCTCCATACTCATTTCCACAGTAGCTGTACTAACTTATATTCCCACTAGCAATGTAGAAGGGCTCCTTTATCCAGGCAATTTCTTCAGCATTTGTTTGATTTGCATGAATTCAGAATTTGTTGAAAATTCTTATGGTTTCTTGTATATAGGAAATCCAGAGTGAAAATTAAAAGCAAAATAAATGATAGATAATAGGATGTAGGGAGAGAGATCTTTCTCAGATGGGAAGGGGATCAAGAGGTGGAGGGGAGAGGGAGGGAAGGGATAGGGATGAAAAAAGGAATGAAAATGTGCTATGTATATGTACCAACTCCACAAGGAATGGAAACACTGTGTACTACAAACATGTACAACAAAATAAAGGAAAGGGCCCAAGGGATGGGTAGAGAGAGAAGGAGGAAAGGGAAAAGGGATGAAAAATGAATTGAGATGTGTCATGTATAGGTACCAACTTCCCACAAGGAAAATAAACACTATGTACTGTAAATGTGTAGTAATAAACTAAAATAAAATTTTAAAAGAAATAAATCACACACAAACTTAAATATCAGATGGCTTCTCTTGTAAAGAGCAAAATAAAAGAAAGATAATAAGAGGTAGGGTGATAGATCTTTCTCAAAGAGGAATGGGATCAAGAGATAGTGGAGGGAAAGATAATGAAAAAAGGAATTAAATGTGTTATGTACATGAACTGACTCCACCCAAGGAACGCAAACATAATGTACTGTAAACATGGACTAATAAATAAAATCCTGCCCCCCCAAAAAAAAATACTGCCCCAGTGCCCGGGAAATGTGAAAATGATAACATGACAAAACCAAAGTAAGGTCACTGCACACCCATCTGAAAGCACGGAGTTTTAGTGGGGATGTTGAGCAGCTGTACTACTCTTAGGCTGTGGATAGTAGTCCACAGCAGCACAGTCTCAGTGGATACCGCCGGGTGGTTACTCGGGAAGTTACCGTGGCACTCTGCAGCACTGCTCCTAGGTTACGCCCAGTAGAAATGAAGGATAACTCAACACAGAGGTTTGGTATGAGTGCTTGCTGCATTCATACAGCCAGGGTCTGGGAGAGACTCAGATGTTTATCAAGTGAAAGGAGGAACCACAATAGAGAATTATTCAGCCATAGAAGAGAAATTATTGACAAACAGAAAAACATGGACAAACATTAAAAACTTAATGCTGAGACACACAGTGTGTTCTTACACACTTAACAGCTCAATGATATGAAACTTGTAGGAAAGCAAAATTCATCCTTGATCACCGTAAACCTTTCAGTGGTCATCTGCACCCAGAAGAGTGGATTGACTGGTAAAGTGCACATGAAAATTTTAGGGTGATTTTGGCCATAGTTACGTGGATGGACACATTTGTGTGAACTCTTCAAACTTTGCACTTTTACTGAATCCATTTCATTGCATGTAATTTATATCCCAACAAATTTTATTTAACAGATTGTCTTATAGAATCATTTATATTTCAGAATGGCAAAAACAAAAAAATTAACGAAGTGGAGGGACATACATATGAGAAAACGAGCACTTCAGCACATTGCTGGTGAAGACCTGTACACTTTCTGTAGAAGGCTATTTAGCAATATCTGCCAAATTAGTTCAGTCTTCATTTTATTCTACAAAGTGATATTGACAGTTTCAGATATTTTTTTTTATGGGCTGTACACATAAAAGAATGGTATTCATTGTTCCATCCGGAAAATACTGGCTGGTTAAAACTAAGGCCAGCTCATGAATCTTTAACCTTGAAGCTTGGAGAGCAAGATTACTCCAGTTATTAGAAAAGATGAATTATAAATATATGGACATAGAAAAATTACTTAATATTCCATCATCTTTTTGGTTCAACTGAGTCCTGACTTTCCTTAAATAATGATGGCTGACATGTATAGAGTGGCTACTTGATATACAGGGATGATGCTCATTGATTTAAATGCATTTTATTCCACCGTAGTCTCACAGTTCTATGAAGTATTCATAGAACTTCATGGATGAGAAATACTCTTTAAGTGATTCTATACATGTCTAAGAAAGCTTGCTAAGGAAAGTGGCAGTGCTTCATTCCAGGCTAAGATGTTTGTGGCCTAAAGCCTAAAGCCACTGCCCATAAGGGGAGGGTTCCTGCCACCATCTTCATGCTAAGTGACCAGCACATTTGTTTCAGAGGAGATGGAATGGTGCCAATGATGAGTCAATAGTTCTTGCTGTCAGGGAATAGGTTGCTGTCAGTTGTGCACTTCTAGTTTTATATCCCTATGATTTAATAAGGGAATCAATACAATAAAGACACATGATAGTTTGGGGAAATTGAGTTCAAGATTGCATCTGATTGTCTCCCATGCTCCTGTCCCCACTTTTCCCCTAGGTTGATATTGGTTAAACATGTCGACTGATACTTCCAGAAAAGCCCTGCTTCAAAAGGTATGTATTTAATTAACTTTATTAGATTACTAAAATAATTTGACATTTTCTAATTAGGCACATTTTATTAAAGATCTATTTCAAGTGGCATTGATTTTTCTGGCTTTCTAGCCATAATTTAGAGTCTGCTATGACAATTTTTAAACTGAAGGGTCCCTCACAAAAGATGGGAATTCATTTTGCCACTAATGAAGATTTAATATCTTTATATATATTATCTCCAAACTAATGGAATACTAGCTATATTGAGAACTAACTTGTAACAAATACAAGACTTGGTAACTTTCTGCCCAAGTTAAGAGAATTTAAAAATTCCTCTTGTAGTATTTATCAAATAACTGGATTATATGAGATGCATGAGAACTTTAGTTGCCTCACTCAAATTTGCACAATATTAAATCTGTAAAAATTACTCTATTTGTTCTTTAACTAGAAAAAAGGTAAAAATCTCAATGAAGCTTTCAGTTCAGACCCAATAAAGTAATTCATTTAAAAAAAAAACTAACTTAAAAATGGTGCATGTATTCCCTAAAAATCACTCTTCAATTTTCACTGGTTTTAATCATGTTTTAAATGAAATTTTGTGTTGATCATGCTTTTACTAAGAGTCATCTTTTAAAGCTCACAAACATAATATTTTCAGTTAGCTTAGACATAAATAATGTTTCTGACAAGTGATGATAAACAAGGTGTCGGGAAAGTTGGGCACATGGTATCTGTATTCATTTGGAAACTGTTGGAATTCCAGGTTCTTAAGTCTCCTCCACATCCTCTCCTTTCTTTACTAACCTCTGTCCAGGAAGAGATAAATGAGATGAAACTCAAATCCAAACACTTTCTTTGGGAATTCCTTTCTTACCAAGAGCAGGACACTTCCTCTGTGATGTTCTTCCCACCCTCGTCAACCAGAAGATCTGGGTTATCTCACGGCGTAGTTGAAGGGTAGGACTACAGCCCTTCTAATATTTTGTCACACTTACATGCTTACATCTGTCCATCATTAAAACACAATGTGATTTGTGTAATAATTTTTATTTTTAGCAAAGTAATATTTTAACCACCTAGGGAGATAGTTTTTGTGAAAATACTTATATGAAAAGAGATACACCATTTTGTTTTTACTTAGTCATTACTATTCAATTAATTTTTAGTGTGATCAAAAAGCAAACTTTAGTCAGTTTTTAGGTCCACTATCAGGTATGTTTTCCTCACTATTTCAAACATACAGTGAAATGACTGGTTCAAATTTTTCAAAGAATTAGCTACATATTTTAATGGATCTAATGTAACAGTCAATAGTATAGAATTATTGATTGTTCCATAGTATTGCATTTTGGAAGTCATTGTTTGCTAAGGGGCATGGGAAGAGAGGTGCTGATTTGAGGTGGGAAAGGAGAATATCTTTAGATATTCTATACAGAGAGAAGCCCAGAATCTATGTGACTGGAATCTGGGAAATGGGCGCCTCTGCAAAGCCATGATAGGATGCATCGATAATGGCATGGGTCCTTACCCATAAGAGGTAGAAGGAAATTTATGTCCAGGAAGAAGAGACAGAGTCAAGAAGAGAAATGGAGGGCAGAGTTCACAAGGAAGAAGAGAAAGTTGGAGCAGGTTGCTTTTTACAAAGAGAACTGGAATCTGTACCAGAAGGTGTTTCCTGAAGTCTGGTAAAGGAGACACATTGAGAGAGTGAACACCATGCTGGGGGGGGGGGCGGTGAAGGAGAATAAGCTGCCCAGTGGCCACACAGATCCCCGGGGGCTCAAGGAGGCAGAAAGTTGGCTTCTTTCATTACTGATGGCAAACTATGCTGGGTCCACTAACTATGGTTGCGACAACATCACAGGTTCTGTGGTTTCATAAAAATTCCCCACTTCCTTGGAAAAGAATAATACTCACTTTCCCCAAAAGAGGAGGCAAAGTTGTGGGTAATGGGCATCCTTTGCTTTGTTGTTCAAGAACTCACAATAGTGTGGTCAAACGTGGGTGAGGGTTATTCCCCAGGATGTTATCAGAAAGTAGGAGTTAAGTGTTACTTGAAGAAGTGAGCTTTGAGACCAATCTTCCAAAGGATACATGTTTTACTGCAAAGAAATGAAATAGCCAAAGGCCTTGCACCCTCATGAATATGATAAAGGCTACTTAACTGCCCATAGAGTTTCTTCCCCACTGTTAAGCTATGTTATAGCCTAGATACCATGATATGTTTTCCAGTGTATATCAGATCCTTATTTTCTAATTAATAATACATGGCAGCAATATCTGAGAGCTGATCTATTATTTATATCTCTTTCAAAGAGTCATTCACTAATTATATATTCAGACAGAAAATTTCTCTTATTTTATTTGAAGTTAGATTTCAATGGAAAACACATTAAGATGTCATCGTGTAAGGAAAACAGGTGTGCTGAAATTCACTGTTCTCCCAGGCAGGCACATTTGCTGGATACCAGGGTTGACAGCAATGAAATGGTCCAGACTCAACTTTCATAGGCCCTTGTTCTTAACATTAAAGACATTTATGTAAATATTAGAGAGTGTTCCATGAGTCAATTTAGAGATAAGAACAAAAATTAACTCAAGGAAGAATGAGGATAGATTTTTAAAAATTTATTTCCCTCACACATTTGTGTCCTTTTGCAGTGAAGACTGGTGGGATTACCCAAGCACTATGCATGTGCAAACAATGTTTGCTGGAGACATTCTACAAAAATCCAACTTAAATTGTGCTCACCAGCACACATGATGCAAAATACTTCACCCAGACTTGTCAGTGCAGGAAGAAAGCATCTGCCGGGCTTTTCAGTAACATACTTTCTTTTAAACATTATTATTAATTAATTCTCTTAATAAAACTTCTCAGTCACATCAGAAAAGGTTATTTAAATTTCATGCAAATATGAAACTTAATGCTGAGGGAAAAGAGTTGGGAAAGGATGCTGAGAGTAGGAGAGAACGATGAAGAGAAGAGAAAGTAATTTAAGCAGGCACTAATTATATAGTTAAAATCACTTCATTTATTCAATTTTTATTTCCCTTTGGTTAAGTTACTTTGGGAAAGTTCCTCTATAAGGCGCTCAAGGAAAATCTTTGAAAAAATGAGCCTGCCTGTCCCGTCCTTTTCTACTTCTGTTATTGCTGGAATTTTTAAGTTCACTAAGAAAACCAAAAAGAAATTCTAGAAACTTTCAGTTCTAAACTGGATAATTGGATAATTTTGAGTATCTTTTATAATTATTATAGTTATTTTTAAAGGTTATTGAATAGAGACTTTTCAGATAGTGTTCTAGTAAACACTTACATCTCCATTAAAAAATTAAAAGGAAGTATTATTTGGATTGAGACATTTCCAGTGAGTAAGCTCTTTTTTAACAGTCTCTATAATACCAACATCACAGTTAAAATGGAACATTCAATTATTCACATATTTTAATAGGTTCAAATCATATACAGCCATGCACTATGCATTGTTTCACTCAATGATGATCCACATACATACAAGTAATTCTGTAAGATTATGATGGAGTTGAACAATTTCTACCTCTTAGTGATATTGTAGAGATGAAAATGCCCTAACAGAAAACATTATTCACACATTTGTGGTAATGTTAACACAAATCCACCATGTAGCTGTCCTGTAAGGATAGCACATACAATTATGTACAGTACATAAACTCAATAATAAGTGACACTATTACTGATTTATGTATTTGCTTACTACAATTTTATCATACTTTACAGTATTGTATTAGTCACTTTCCCATTCTTGGGCCAAAATACCCAACACCCTCAATGTGAAGGTGAAAAGTTTTATGTTGGCTCACAGTTTCAGTGGATTCAGTCCATGGTTGGGAGAAACAGCATGGAAGAGGGAAGCTGTTCACTGCGTGGCTGCCAGGAAGCAGGGAGAAAAGAGAGGAGCTGGGGTGAGAATCCACCCTTCCTTCCACATCACACCCCCAGTCACCCTCCCTTTTCAACCAGGCCCCAACTCAGAAAGTGAGACTATGGGGAAACAGTTTAAATCTAAACCATAACAAGTGTTATCCTACTTATTAAAAAGAAAATTTAACTGTACAATAGCCTCAGGAGTGTCCTTTAGGCAGGACTCCAGAAGGCATTGCTATGGGAGGAGATGACAACTGCACAGCTGTAGTTGCCCTTGAAGTCTTTCCATTGTTATAAGATGTGGAAAAGAGAGTGACATTGCGATGTTCCTGACTTGAGGTGGTGTAGGCTCATGTGTGTTCTTGTGTCTTAATATTTTGCAAAGATGTGTGCAAGGTGTGTATTTGTGGGCATTGCATGTTCCTATGATTCCTCACCATCCAGAGCATCCCTGCTCTGCTTACCAGGCCCCAGGTTTATGACTTCCATTGCTTTTCCCAACCTTCATAAATGCCTCTGAGGGTTTCTACATACCCAGCATTGTTCTGCCTAGCTTCTCACAAAGGAAGCAGAAGTCAGTAGGAGTCAGCTCTCTCCACTTCACTCCTTCATCTGCAAAGTTATCTACATATTCACCTGTTCATCTTCCTGCTCCCCTTACCCCTATCTCTGAAAAGGGACCTCTACTCATTCTCATTCTACCTCGACTCATTTTGTAGCTTTTCTTCCCTTATGTGTGAATCCCACCACTTGACTACCACATCTGAGGCCAGATTCCACCACTGATCAAGAGATTTCTTCATTTTATCTCCTTGGTTTTATTTCTTGGGAAATTTTTTGTCTAATATATTCATATTGTCATTTATACTGATAGACTCTCTAATGATATTCTTTACTTCTGAGATTGATCATTTATGTTCGACAATTTTGCCTTCTCTTAGGCTAGGAACCTATCAAAAAAGAATTTAACTTTTGGTTTGGAGAAGTTTCTGTCTTTAATTTTATTTTTGCTTTACTTGATTTCTGTTATTAGCATTTTCATTTCCTTGCATACACATTTTAAAATTTAAGTTTCTATTCTTGCTTCTTGAAGTACATACTTTTTTTTT